TATAATGCTGCCTCTCAGAACAGCATGCCTCTGAGAGTCAGATTGTGAGGTTCATTTTTTACAAGCACCCCAGTGATTCCAGTGTGTTCTGCTCTCTGCCTGGGGCTTACATACATCTCTAGAACATTCTATATCCTTCTGTGAACTGGGGCTGTGAATATGCCATTCCCCTACCCAAGCACCGTTAAGAATCTTCTCCATTGTGTCCCAACAGAGCCCCACACATACCCTTGGTGTGGGACTGCTGGGATGAGTCACACTAGAGGGTCTTGTCTTGTTCTTTTATGACTGTGTGTCACATAGTCTACTAGAAGCTCTGCAGATGCTCTTTGCATAGAGGAATCCAAATAGAATGATGAGGTGTAGGGTAAAAGGGCCAGCCAAAGAAACCCACCCTGACCCTGAAACCAGAGCCAGTGAAAGAATCACACTTTAGACATGAAACCAGAACCAAAGAAACACACCCTGACCCTGAAACCAGAACCAAAGAAACACACTTTGGCCCTGAAACCAGAGCCAAATCTGCCCCTGACCAACTGAGCACAAAACCAGCCAATCCCTGAGCAGGAAAACCAACCAATCCCTGAGCAGGAAAACCAACATCCCTGAGCACAAAATCTAGCCAATCTGAGCTTGTACAAACTCAAGGGGATTGAAATCTGACCAATTTCCCCCCTGAAAATCTTCTCTGGACAAACTCTGCCCCTAAGAAGCCCTATATAAGCCCTGAGCCTGTTCAGTTGGCAACTGTCCTCCACTCCTGAAGAGGCAGCCAGTTTCCTGGATTCCTCCTTGACAAATAAATCTCTTTTTTGGGTGAAAACTTTCTTTCTCTGGAGCAGAGCAGAATCTCTGCTGGGAAACTCTCTTTGCAGAGTGGAGCACAGAAGTAACAAACACCTCTGCTGGGATACCTCTTCCTTAGGGGAGCAGAGCAAAAGTAACAGCTTTCCCCTGGAGCTGGAGCAGATTACTACATTTCTGCAGGAGCTTGCCCCAAAGCAGAGTGAAGCAGAAGGAGAAATAATTTGGGCCAGAGCAGAGAACTCCCTAGTAGAGCAGAGCCGAGAAGCAACGGATAACTCTGCTGGGAAAGTCCCTTAGGGGAGCGGAGCAGAGCTCAGCTGTAGCTGAGAGGAGCAGGATTGCCACATCCCGTGGGGAAACCATTCCCCACCAGAACCGAGCTGCAGGTATAGCCTGGGTTCCCGACAAGTCAGGATACCTTGCCCTCCAGAGCTGTAATACTTGCAGGTACAACCTGCAAAGTCAGGATATCTTTCCCTATGGAGCTGTAACATTTGCAGAGAGTTTTACACTTGTGTGAGATCACATACAGACAAAGACACCTGTGTCTTAAGTCTGGATCCATCAGTACCTCCTTTACCCACCAGGACTCTGAGACTTAGGTGGTGGCAGAGAACTAGCTCTGAGTCCTAGCTCCAATGCTTTCTTTCTAGGTGTTTCCTCTAAGGGGAACTCACAACCTCACACTTATCCATTCATCCCTAAACCACTCCATTTAAGAACTCAGAGAAATGGCGTGCTCATAATCCCAGCACTGTAAAGTAGATATAGACAAATCCCTGGGGCTTGATGGCCAGCCAGACTAGCTTACCCCACAAGCTTCAGGTTGGTAAGAGATCCTCTCTCAAAAAATAAGCTGACTGACTCCTGAGAAACACCCGAGGCCGACTCTCTAGCCTCCACATGTATATATATACATGTGCAACCACACACACACACACACACACACACCACACACGACTCAGACCAAGATGGTGAATGGAGGTGCCTATCTGGCCTTCAGATGAGAGGAGCTGTCAAGTAGGAAAGTTCACTCACTTTTGCTCCACCCACCAACACTGGCTTTTTGGTGTAAACTTTGAAGGCAAAAGCTTCACAGGACTTGGCCAAACCATACCAGTCCTATCCTGTGTCTCATTCAACAAGCTTCATTACCAAGCAGTGACTGCTATGGTTCAAAATCCACTAAAGGTTTTGCATATCTGAGCTCCTAGTGCCCAGAGTGAGAAGATAAGATCTTCCCAAATACCCACCCTCCTCACTGAGCCATCCCAGAACCACTCGATGTGGCGGTGACCCTGAAGGTGTTTTTACAAAAAGAGCACTAGTGGAGAACAGTGCAATCATAGCTTCTCCAACACACAGGGGTGTCCTAGGTCCTGAAGGGTCCCTCCCCTTCTTCCTCCTTCCCTCCCTCCCTCCCTCCCTCCATCTCTCCCTTCCTCTTCCTTTGACTTTTTGAGACAGGTTCTCTCTATATAGCTTGTGCCAGACTCTCGTTCCATGTTCACCTGTCAAAGCCCAGCTGCTGGCAGGTCCTCTTGGAGTCGCTGTCATTCCAGCTACTGCTGCAGACAGGGAGCCACTCACCAGAGGAACCAGAATAGACCTTCAGCAGAGACCTGTCCCAGTCGAACCTGACTGCAGAACAGAAAAGGGCAGAGCAGGGTCTCAGTGCTCAGGCAGCTTCAAGCTTTTGGGAATAAGTTGTGGGATGCTCCTGGGAGAGGTGTGGGGAGGCTGGGCTGCCCAAGCAATGATGTCTGGAGGTCCATGGCCTTCATAAGCATAGAGCTAAGGTCAAGGGGCTATGGCGGGGCAGCTATTTATCCATGAGGACTCAGGAGGCCATTGCTGGGAGAGGGACAAGCATCACACTTGTAGAGGACAATGACATGCTCAAAGGAAAAGATACAAGGGACACAGTATCGATGATCTGAGAGTGTGCTCATAGGACAGCCTTGGTCAAAGATAGGTGCAGTCATGGGCAAGGTGTGTGCTTTAATAACTGGAGAAGTGAAAGGGTGGGGCACACACATCCCTTAGCAAGGGTAAGACCACACAAGCATAACCATAGAGGACCAGAGTTCAACAGGTCTTTGTGCTTGTCATGAAGAAACCAAAGAGCTCACAAATCTGAACAAAGGAATTGGGTTCCAGAGCACCCTCAGCTTGTCTCCAGTCAGACTTTCTGTTTTTCTCTGTCTCACAGAGTTTTGGATTTTATATAACTGTCACCAATCTCTTCCAGTCCATCTTTCCATGTCACCTGATGCTAACAACCAAGTTTCAAATCTGTGTCTGCTGTGACTCAAACCAAGATCTTCTAATTTTCTGCCCATTGCCTTTGACAGAACTATTATTTTTCATAATATAGTGTGTAGTCCCCAGAGTGTATATACAGATGCCCCCACACACACCCAGCCTTCTTACCACAGCCCAGCTCATCACTTTTCATTTTGCAGTCCACCACTCCATCACAGCGAACTGCATGGCTCGGGCAACTCTCCAACGGCTCTTTATACTTGATCCCTGTATGGCCTCGCCAGAAGTAGACTAGAAAAACAAAACAAAAGGAACAACAAGCAGAGAGCTGGTTATTACCAGAGCCTGAGGGACAGGACTCTCAGCTGCCCAAGGCCCTGGGGATCCTCAGACACCGACCTGAAATCCCTCTTGGACACTGGGGCTCTCTTCCCCCATCTGTATGGAGAGAAAGGCTGCTCAGGGATGTTCTAGAAAGCCCCTGCAATCAGAGCAGCCCCTGACAGAATTGAACAGACAGCTACCCAGAGAAGAAAAGAAACAGGAGAAACAACCAGAAATGGACATGGATCCTACTTAGGAAGCTTCCTTACCCTATATGCTAGAAAGGATAGTAGCCAGAGAAATCTTCTCCTCCAGTATCCCAGAGTTCCCTCTCAGAACCCTCTCTGTGCTACATAAATACACACAGAGAGGGAGAGAGAGAGAGAGAGAGAAAAAGAGAGAGAGAGAGAGAGATAACACCACTACCTGACCTTTCTTCTCAATGGATACCATGATGCCAGCCTCAGCAGCTCTTATGTTTGCATCCTCCTCCCTCACCCCTATACATGGGTATCTCTTGTACTTGGTCCTTGCTTCCTTGCCTCTCTTTATGCCTTTCAGTGTCTTCTCACTCGACAAGCAATGTTTGGCTAATTTCCAAACATGCAAGGAAACTTCTCACACCTTATGTAGGAGCCAGCTCCAAGTCTTCCTTTGCTTCTAAACCTGATCTGTCACTCTACTGCCCGGAGACAATTCCCTGTGCAACCCCCACAGACCTGTTATCTAATGCCTCACCCAACCTCCCAGCCTCTGCCATCTCCTCAGCTCTGACCCCACATTGTCTCTCCAGCACCATGGTCTCTGTCACTCAGGAAAAGACCACCTGCTGAGACAGTCCCTTTCCAGTCAGGACACACATCCTCCTAACCCCTCAACGATGCATGTTCTCCTCTCAGTGTCTCTTCCTCCTCCTCCCACACCCTAGATGCTGATGCTCTAGGGAGTCTGGGTGTCCCTCTCACAGTGCTTGGGAAGCTGCACATAATAGGACCACTGTGAAATGTTTTGGATAGAGTGATGATGGGAGAGGAACCAGGAGGCTGGACTTGACCTACAGCTCATACTACCTCTCTGGCCTCCACAAAGGAGCAGTAAGGACTTTGGGAAATTTAGAAATGGGTTAGAGCTCTAAGGCTACTTGGTGAGCTTGCCCTTGAGTGTGTCCTGTCCCTCCATGGATCATTCCCATTGCTCTCAGAAGCAAAGGGCGAAGGAGTAGACAGGAGGTCTTAGCTCAAGGAAACCTGGGAGCCATCATATATGTTGTGATAATGACCACATCACCCAGTCAGCAGATGGGGAAACTGAGATCCAAAATGTTAATTAACTTGCTGACATCATACCGTGCCTGAGAAGCAGAGGCAGGATGCTGGAGCAGAATGTGGGGTACCCAAGCTGTGCTATTACAGTACACTGCACTCTTCCCCTAATAGCCGTGCCACCGGAAGTTTCATGCACCAATCCATCTCTCCATTTACCATCTCATGCTGCCTTTTCCATAGAATACTTCTCCAGCTATGTCTAAAACCTTCTAGACTTTAATCCCAGCACTCAGGAGGCAGAGGCAGGTGGATCTCTGTGAGTTCAAGGCCAGCCTGGTCTACAGAGCGAGTTCCAGGACTGTCTCCAAAAGTTACATAGAAACCCTGCCTCAAAACAAAACAAAACAAAAACCACAACAAACAAACAAAAGCTTTCTGGTCTCGTGCAACTAACCAGATGGGCTCCAGGCTCTCAAATGTGTATCTCAGCCTGACTTATTTTAGCTGTTTCTCAGAGGTGGGTGACCTTCCTGGTACAGAATAACATGATACGTGCTCATATTTGCTCCCTCCTAGGCTCCCCTTTTGGCCTATCTTCTAATGGATTGCTGATCAAAGCGCTTAGGACATGTTCTGGGTATCTTTTTCCAAAGGACAACATGAAGGTCCTGAATCCCCAGACAGCACACCTTGTCCCATTAACCTTCAGAGGCTTTTTCATTATTTTATGGCATGTTGTTTTTCAAAGTTAGCTATATGTTTTCATAGTGAAATTTTATGTCAAAAATTGTACATTTCTCTCATATAGTTCTCCTGATCCAGATAAAGTGGAATAAGACCTATGGAGTATATGCTGAATTTAATGATTAATGATGAACTGGATCCCGTTTAATGACACTGAAACAGAGCCCAGTATAGTTAGTGCAATTGTTCTAGTGAATCCTCAGACTTCACCTGCAATGATGGATCCAAACCCAGAATCCCACGACACCCCACACTCTTAGCCCAGTCATCTCAAAGGAGCCTAATACCCCATGATTCAGGTCTTTATGTGGATGTGAGTCCCTCTGTCCCTGTGGTATGGCTCGTGATTGAGTCCATTCCATTCTGAAATGACCCAAACCCACCCTGACCCCTCTTCAACTCACAGAGAAGGATGAGTGAGATCACCAGGCTGATGAGAAGGATGACACACCCGATGAGTGGCAGCTGTCTCTGGGCCTCCTGCCAGGAGAACTTGGACAAGCTGAGACCTAAGAACAGGGTAGGGGGATAGATAACTACTGGGGAGGGGTTCAGTATGGTGGAAGACAGAAAAGGAAGCAAAACTGGCCCCCGAGGATCTGGGTAGGACCCTTGCACCATGCAACACATCTCCACCCCTACCTACCACCTCCACTCCCTTTACGCAGGCCCTCCTCTTGGTCAGGCACTGTGCATGTGTCCTGCTATTTCATCCCCCACGGCATCCCATGAGCCAAGTCTTATTAGGTCCATTATGTAGATGAGGAAACTGAAGCTCATGGAAATAAAAGTCATTCAAAGTCACCAAGATAGTGACCAGGTCAGAGATTCAAATGCAATGTCTCATTCCAGAATCCATTCCACCAAAGTGCCTCTCTTGCCCTGGACAGGGACAGACTAGGATGGTTCCTAAACCTTGGACATTTTTTCACAATCAAAAGCAACCAGGCCTGAGTATATGGGCGTAAGGCAATGAGGACAGGCTGAGGTCTGGGATAAGTGAAAACAGTTTCCTAAGGGAAAAGCCAAGCCCGGAGGCCCATTGGTCTCTTAGACTTCCTGGCAACCGAAGTGCAGAACCACATCCCCCACACAAGTTTGGAAGCTTGGATTGTCAGAGTCCCTCTCATTCTTCCTCCACATATGGACAGACATACTAATCATGACTCTGGCTTCCCCAGCAGACACACAGATAAGCCCAAGGAAACAGCCCCTCCTCTAGCCGGGAGCCCTTGCTCTTGAAGTCAGAGCTCTAGAGTAGGCAGAGCAGCCTCCAATGTTAATTTCCTAGCTCCTAGCTTTGGTCCCCTTCCACCCCTCTTGCTTAATTTCCACTGTCTTAGGCTGTCATGTCATGGTCTCTTTCTACCCCCACCTCTCCAGGTACTCCATGGTCCACTCTGGCTGTCCCCCATGTCATTATCCCAGGGTCATGAGAAGCAGAGTGCTTTCTGAGAGCATCCCTCTGCCCAAAAACACTGCCCTGCGTCTCTGCCCTCCCTGGGATGACCGCCTTACCTGGGCTCTCCCTGGTGGCCCTGGTGGCTGCTGCTGACCTGGCAGGAGATGCCCGGATGGGGACAGCCCCCACTGGTGTTGCTCTAACAAGGTACACTCTCGTTGGGGAGGATGTCGTAGAGGCTGACCTGGCAGATGACGACCTGCCCGACGATGACCTGGAAGGTGATACTACGGCTGGAGATGTCCTTGCCGGGGAAGCCTGAAGAGGAGAAGCCCGAGCAGGAGAAGCCCGGGCTGGAGAAGCCCGGGCTGGAGATGCCCGGGCTGGAGATGTCCTTGCTGGGGAAGCCTGGGGAGACATCCTTGCTGGAGAAGCCTGAGGAGGTGTCCTTGCTGGGGAACCTTGAGGAGGTGTCCTTGCTGGGGAACCTTGAGGAGGTGTCCTTGCTGGGGAACCTTGAGGAGGTGTCCTTGCTGGGGAACCTTGAGGAGGTGTCCTTGCTGGGGAAGCATTCTGCAAATAGAATGAAGGGCATTCCTGTGTCTACCCTCAGGCAGCCCATCCCAGCTGTGGTCCCTATTGAATGGAAGGTGAACACTCTGGGGCAAGTGTCTGGGGGACAGAGAAAGTCCTGTGCTTGAATATATTCAATACAACTCCTGAGCAGAGCAGTTCAGAGTTCTCCTCTTGAGAACATCTGACACAAGCCAGGACCATTGTCACTACTGAGTAGGACACAGCAAATGTACTTTTTAACTCTTCCAGGAATCAGAGGTAATTGGTTTGGTCACCTCTTCACTTTACTGGGGCCTGCTGTTTGGTTCAAGGAAGAGTTTGACCACACTCAAGGCAGGGACCAGAGAGTGTACAGGGGTGGCTACATGTAAGTGCCCATATCCCAGCTGGCTGCACAGGGATGCATCTGAGTGTGTTTAGGGACATTCAGGCACCTGCTGCTGCTGCTGCAGCTGCTCTGACACCAAGGCCACCCTCTTCCATTGCTGTCTGGAGAATAGATTTCCAAAATAAGCAGATTCATGTCTGGGCCCTAGAAAGGGGATGGGGACAAGGAAGGTAGATCTAGGGAAGACATATTTGTTTTTATAGGTGCTGAGAGTTGAACCCAGGGCGCTGTGCATGGAAGGCAAATGCTCCATCACTGAGTTCCACTTCTAACCCAAACTTGGCTTTGGGCATACTAGGCAGCTAACTACTCTGCCCCTGAGCAACTCTATAGTCAGGCAGCCCTTGGTCCCAATCTTGGGCCTGTCCTTGCATAGCAAAAGGACTAGAACAAGCCACTGAATCACTTAAGATTTTTGTTCATCTGTGAAACAGTCTGGCACAAATTGGGAGCATCCTTGACAGGTCCTGGGATACAGAAGTTACCTAGTAAATAACAGTTTATTCTCTCCCTACCTTCCCATGAACAGGCAGGATCAAGAAGACCAAGGTTCAAGGGCCGTGGGGTATGGGTGATTGATGGGAGCAAAGACTATGGTCATTCATTTAGAGGAATAGGCCTCAGTGATGGGAGGCCCTGAGTGAACTTCTCAACAGTGGTGGCCTGAACGTTGGCTCCTGGCAGGGACCTGGTTTTACAACACATCCCCTGGGGTCCAAATCTTCCCCAACACTGGGGAAATTCCTGTGATTTGATATAATAAAGTATACTTTAGAATCTACAGCAAACTTTCATGTCTGTGTCCTTGTGGGGTTCTAACCTCATCCTGAGAGTTGGTCATTCTAGAAGCTAATTTTCTAGAGTTGGATTACCAAAACCACAGAGTTAGGATTCCACCCTGGGTCTCCTTATATCTGCCTTAATGCAGAAGGAGAAACTGTTGGTGCTGTTCTCTGAACACAGACACAAGGCACTCTGAGCATTTAGAGCCTGACCAAAGAACTGGGGTCTGGGACCTTGTAAGACAGGAGCTCTGCTGAGGGACTGTGGCAGAGCCCAGGTGTTTCTTGGTAGGGTCATGACCTTGTGGTACTTTCTGTTGTGAACTAAGGCTGCCTCTCCACCCTCACTCACCCCGCCATCTTTCAGGTCAGATTGGAGCCTTGTAACCCAGAACTGCAGCCAATAGTTTACAGAGACTATGGCCGAATTCAGCCTCGTGACATGAGCAAGCGACTTCACGCCTTTCCACACCAGCTTCCTTATCTGCAAGGTGTGGGTAGCCACCCAGCTTTGTATCACAGTAGTCATAGATGAGACATCCAGAGCACTCGTACATAGTGAGGCCTGGGGTGACACTGACTGTGACAATAGGTCTACTTGGTGTTTGAGAATGCTTGGCTGGAAATCCACATGTTTGAAAAGGGCTGCACCCATTCCCTACTAGGTTTCCTTGGACAGGTCAGCCAGAGCATGTTTGACTTGTATAAACAGGGCTAATCTCATCTCTTTCCCCATACAACAGGGGATCTATGTGAACAAGCCTGGACTGCACACGAGGGTCTTGCTATAATGAAGGGAACAGCCCACAATGCACCTTCTGTGGTCTCGTTTCAGCTTCCTACTTGTTCTTTGTAACTGGCATTGTTAGCTCCACTTTACAGATATTGGAACTGAGGGCTGGTGAGATAGAGATTAGTGTACGGTAATAGAGCTCGCTGCCAAGCCTGAAAACCAGAGTTCAGTTCCTGTAACCTATGTGGTAGGAGAGAAATGACAGTTGGCATTTGTCTTCTGCCCTCCATGTGAATGTACAACACACGCCACACATTTAAAAAATTCATAATAAAAACGTGATCAATTTTCAAATTTCTAGGTCAAGTAAGGGAGAGGGAGAGGGTTCTAACCAGGGCTACTTGTAACCAACAATGTCACAAATGACCACAGCAGTCTCCCTCGTCTCTCCAGGGCTCACCATCTGTAGAGTCACACACACTGTCCAGTCTGGTTCTCACACGGGGCTTAGCGAGCAAACTGGTAAGAATGGCCATCCCTGTCCTCCCTCTCTGGTTTTGTTTGCTTACACAATTGTTTGTCTGTTTATTGAGATGGAGTCTCATATAGCTCAGGCTAGCCTTGAACTCCTGGTGTAGCCAGAGATGACCTTGAATTTCTGATCTACCTACAGGCAAATGCCATCGTACCCAGTTTCAACAGAGTCGAAGATCAAACCCAAGGCTTTGCACATCCTGGGTTTGTACTTTACCTGCCTAGCCATAGCCACAGATCAACCATCTGCACTCTATCCAGGGGAGTTGGCACTCAGGGAAATTACCCCAGCTACCTAAGTAAAGGAACGCTCAATATTTTGAGTCCCTAGTCAAGGACTCTAGCTGTCTCCAACTGATCTTGACCCTGTGATCCTGGCACCGAATCACAGGGGAGTGAGTGAAGGCACTGGGCTGGAGGAGAGAGAGTTAAGAAGGTCCAGGGCAAAGTGTACAGAAAAATTAGAAGAGAGAATATTTGTAAGTTGGAGTAAGGAAGAATGAGAACAGACAAGAAACCGGCGATGGGCCAGCAGGGTGGGAGGTCAGTAGAGGCCGGAGTAGGTAATGTGGGAAGCTGGTAGGTAGTCCTGAGGCAGAGGGCATTCAGCCCCGGCCTTGACAGACTCAGCACTGTGTTATCAGAGCCAGGAGTGGAAGCTGGTAGTGTAGGCCTCTCAGACCCATGCAGGAGAGACCTAGAACCCCAAAATCTGAGTGAGAAATGTCACTTGGAGAACTGTGAGTCCCAGGATGGTGTTGGAATGGAAGGGCATCCCCAAGGCAAGAGGACAGAAGCCACTGAACTTTGACCCAGACTTCACAGGTCATTAGGAAGCACCCTCATCTTCAGAGTCTGTGAGGATGTGAGTGCCCACAGCTTCCCTCTTTATGCATTTCATGGCCTTCTGGAAATGTTTCCTGATGTCTAACCTACTACAGCACTAACTCATTTCCTCCCCCTCCATCACTGGAAAGCAATGGCAGAGATGTCATCCTCCCATATGGAGGCCTGACTTTGCCCTGACAACAGATGGTGCCCCAGGAATGGAGGAGACTTCTTCTCTAAGGTTCCTAGGTACTAAGGTAGAACCAGGGGACCAGAACCCAGGCCTCCCAATCCCAACCTTTGGCAATGTGCACAACCTCCCCAGAAAAGAATAGTGACCAAGTCCTTGCAGGGCCCTGCCGTTTGCACAGCCAACTATAGACCAGAGGCTGTTCAAGCTGCATGGGCAGGTATCTGTGACTGACAACTTGGGCCATTTCCTGCCATTGCCATTCATTCCTTGTGACCCCATGCCCACAGTCTCTAAGGCTGTCCCTTGCCATAACAATTAGCCAACAAACACACTGCAGGCCAGTCACCTCTGAAGCTCCAGGCTGTGCCTGAGAAGCTCTGGGGAACCTGTTCACAGCTTGTCAGGATGTGTAGAGAGGTTCTGGTGCATCATGTAGACCAAGGAGCCAGGAAGAACATACCATGAGGAAGGCAGAAAGTTGGATATGGTTGTGCATGGCTGTCACCCTAGTGTTGGGGGCACCGAGACTCTGATCTCTAGAGCTCACCAGCCAAGACTAACAGAATCAGTGCACTTCCAGTTCAAGGAGGGACCTTGTCCAAGGCAATAAGGAGAACAGCAATAAAGGAAGACACTAGACATCCTGCTCTGACCTCCACATGCTCAGATACCTGTGCACTCACATTCATGTACCTCACACGCGCACACACGTATATAGGTGAACATGGGTGCGCGCGCATGCGCGCGCGCGCGCGCACACCCACACACACACCCACACACACACGTATTCCTTTTCCAAAGTCCCATACAGCAGAACAGGAGCTAAAGACTCCCCAAACTCCCCATTTCTAGTCCTGTGCCCATTCGACCTCAGCTCCCCGGGAAGGATTTTGCACCCCAAGTGAATGGGGCATTTTTTTTTTTAAATTTCTCTTAGCTGGTAAAATACCAGAGTTAGTTAACATCCCCTGAGTGTGTCTTGCATTGGCCTCCCCTGAGTCTCCTGTGGGTCAGTCAGTTAGCTAGCTGTTGCTGCAGGCTGAGTTCCCTGGCTCCTCGGCCCCATACTGCTCATGAGAAGAGCTCCACACAAGCTTTTCTGCTGGACCCAGAAAATGTGCAGCGGCCACAGCAGTGACAGCCATCAACCTTGCCTAAGACAGGCCCATGGAAGCTTCCTCCCAGGGCCACTCCCATATAAAGCCATCACTCTGAGGATACACCGGGACGGAAGGACCACTAATTAAAGCTTTCTTTCTATGATGAGATGGCCAAGGCCCAGAGAGGCTCTGGTTTGAAGCAGTGGTAGGGTCACAGGGCTAGTCATCTGGTCCTACCCTTGAGCTGCTACTGACTAATGCTGTACTCTCTATTGCCTTCTTCCTACCACCTCCAGTGAGCAAAACCAGACTTGAGCTCTGCACGCTCCTCTTTCCCAGTTATCCTAAGTTTTAAGGGCTGTCAAAGGAGGAGGTGCATGGGCTAGACCACGGTCAGCACTCTGGGGCCCTAATCCCTGCTGGAAGCTCCTGCTGTTTTGTCTGTCTGTGTTTCTCAAGAATTTTGCCATATAACCCAGGCAGACCTGAAACTCAGTATCCCCTGCCTTTAAGTGCTGGAATAATAGGTGAGCCTCACCTTGTCTAGTGCAGGAGCTCCCTTTGATAGGGCCTAGAAGTTTCTGTCCACTAGAGACTGGGGAGAGGGAGTGAGGACAGGGAGAAGCTGGGTTGGATGAGCTCGGATCCCACTGCCACGTGGACCAGACTGGTCTGGCACAAAGCCAGGCTTCACTGTGTCCCTTAGGACATGGCTTGGGAACACAGGAGCTTGCTTCTAGGCAGCTATGTGAGCTAGGGGACATCATGTCCCTGTCAATCTCTGCACTCCTTAATGCCTAAAATGAAGGGATTAACAACAGTTTTCCAGCAGTTTCCATGACACATTAAGGTCTCATGGAGCTCAGTCATGGGCCCTTCTGGTGAGGCTTGAGCCCTTTCCCTACCTCAGACAAAAATTCACATTTTTTTTTATGCAGTGGCCTCTACCCAATATTTCATTTGAATAGAAGAGGCAGCTACTGCAAGAACTTGAAAACAACTGCATTGGGTGAGCATCCCAGTTCTTTCCATTTAGAATGCCTCTTGGCACGTGAAAGAGACCAGAAGTAGAAGCCATAAGACCATACCTCAGTGGTCATTTGATAGCTCATTCATTCATTCATTCATTCATTCACAAATGACATTAAAGAATGTGGTATGTGGACCAAAAGGAGATGGCTCAGGGGGTAAAACTACTTGCCATGAAGGCATGAAGATCTGAGTTCAAATCCCCAGACCCATGTAAATCTGAAAGAGGTAGTGCACATCTGTAATCCCAATGTTCCTATGGTAGGAGGGGAGGCGGAGACAGGACCTGGGTCAGCTAGCCTGGAGTGTGCATCCAACAGTGAAAACAAGAGACTGCGTCTCAAGAAAGGCCAACACTCAAGGGTATCCTCTGAATCCCACACAAGCTCTGTACACACACACACACACACACACAGAGAGAGAGAGAGAGAGAGAAAGAGAGAGAGAGAGAGAGACAAAGAGAGAGAGAAAGCATGCATATAACATTCATACATCATATATATATTTATATATGTATATATAAAGACTAAAAACAAAAAATGAAACACTGAATGCTCACTGTCGCCAAGCAAATGGTATTTCCTGCCTCTGTTTCCCTGCTAAGCCTCTCCTATCTGCAAACGCAGGGGTGGTGACAATATAGATCTAGGGCCTAGTAAGTACTTTGGCCTGTCTTCAGCAAAGGAGCCTCCACCTAGGACCGCCAAGGCCTTTGCTTAGAGGACAAGCTGCTGTCCTGTTGTGTTTTCCCACCTGTCCACCTGCCAGGGTACAGTCCACCCCATTGTTGCTAGACAGGAGGAAGCTGTATTGCCAAAACAAGACACTTAAACTAAGTGGCCATTGCTACATCAGCCAGCCTTCCCACCCCGCGCTGAGCCTGGAGCCTGACATGCACTCCCACATACTCACACTAAGTCACAGGGGACAACAGACAAGGCAGAATGAGGCTCAGTGGGGTGTGCCAGGTGCATGCTGATCAGCACCAATGACAGCACAAATCAGATGTTCCAGGTAAGGGGTGTGGCCCTCCAGGACAAAGACAAGCTGTTGGAGATGCCTCCAGTTTGGAGCTGTGGGATTGATTACAAGGGGTCCTGAGTATACTGGTCTTCCATCTTGGGAATGTGGGTAGCCTCCTGGGAAAGGTATGCATCCTGGCTCATGCTAGGCTTCACACACCCTCACATACAGCCAGCTGTTTACAGAAACTCCCAGCATAGGAAAATCTGTTCTCCAAATGACCACTACTTGACCAATGGGTTGACTCCAGTCCAGTCCCCAAGCACTGAAAAACATGACCCTCTTGGCAAAAGCACACATTTGGAGAGAACAGCACATATACCCAGTAGGACACACTTGCTATCCTTCTTGTATTCCCATTTCAGCGACTGCAATGGAAACAGAAAGAGATCTTTTGGGCCATTCATCCAACCCTCTTTGTCAGGTGGGGAGATTGGGGTATAGAGAGAGGATGTCTGTCCCAATTTAGAGGAGACGGCGCTAGACTCCAAACAGAGATGTTGATGGCATGACTATCTGCAGCTTTGGTATACCAGATGTGTTCTAAAGGAGCCCTTCCTATACAACAGACTTCTGAGACTCCTTGAGACAGCTGCTCCATTTTATAGATGGAGACACTAAGGGATAGGAAGCTGAAGTGACCCTGTTTTGAGGGGTCAGCATGGGACTGATCCAGACCCCCTGAACGTGGGTGTCAGTGAGAAGGTCTCAGCAATCTACAGGGCCTTGGGTAATAGATCAGTATTTATCCCTGGCACACGAATGGACTTTGGGAGCCCATTCCATGTGGAGGGGTGCTCTCTAAGTCTGGACACATAGGGGAGGGCCTAGGCCCTGCTTGGGATGATATGACAGACTTTGGAAATCCCCATGGAGGGCCTCACCCTCCCTGGGGAGCGGAGGGGGATGGGGTGAAGGCTTGGGGGGGTTGGTAGGGGAGGAGGGGAGGAAGAGGGAGCTGGGATTGACATGTGAAGCAAGCTTGTTACTAGTTAAATAAAAAATTAATTTAAAAAATAGCCACTTGTTATGGTAGGCAGAAGTGTCAGGTCTCATTATGTAACCCTGACTTCCTGGAACTCACTATGTAGATCAGGTTGGCCTGAACTCATAAAGATCCACAAGTTTCTGTCTCCTTATTCCTGGGATTAAAGATGTGCACCACCATAGCTCCTCCATCCCACTCTTATTTAATCTTAAGAAATCTAATGTAGACAAGATTAGGGGTCAACTATAGGATCCTTACTGGTAACTCTGGGGAGGTAAGTTCCCCAGATGGACATCACTTCTGTAACCCAACTCAGGAGGAGGGGCAAGCTCTCTGCCCATCCCCAACTCAAACTCACCACCTTTTAGATAGCTCAGCCCCCTTCTTTGGGTCTGGGAACTAGCAGGTTCCCAAGGAGGACAGCCCATTACTGTGGCTGTGATGTCCCATGCTTCCTACAAAACACCATTCTTCTCTGCGTACCCTTTCTGCTTACCTTAAAGACATGAGGCAAAAGGACCAGAGGGGAGAGCAAGGGAGGCAGCCAAGGAAAGGAAGAGGCTAGAGGGGTCTGGACAAGGAGGAGAGAAGACAGAACCCCCAACAGAAACATACCCAGGTTCACAATGGACCACAAGCTAACCATAGCCTAGAACACAGGATGAGTTGAGATTCCTCAACCCCAGAGCTTGTTAATCCTTCCCAGAGTCTCAGATCTCACCATATCAATAAAGAACAAAAATGTGGTAAGGAATAGAAAAACAGAAACTAAGGAAAAGTTAATGAGAAAGGGGCACACTGAACAAAGCTTTGGGGACCCCCAATGTGCACATGGCTCACTTTTCTACACTGGACAGCCCCATTGCTCTCCATCACCCCTAAGAGCAGCTGAAGAAAGAAGCCTAAGATGTAGCAGAGGACACTGTGGTTAGACATAAGTCAGCACTTTCCATTAAGTCCCCTAGTAAGTGACCAAGGGTAGATAAAAATCCCACGAAAATCTTAAATGTATATAGAAAAGTCACATTTTTCTGGGAAGGTTTAGGAGTCTACCTAGGAGACTCCTTGAAGATGAGTTAAATATTCTTGGGTCTCAAACCAGCAAAAATTAACTTAGATTAAATCAGAGTCTCAACCAGCAAAGCTGACCACGTAACAGCAGTGATGTCTTTGCCAGGGCACGGGCCAAGCCCTGCTCAGGCCTCAGCTACACAGCCCTGGGGTGCCTAGTAACCAGACCCCATATTTTATGGGTTTCTCCTCCTAGAGCTCCTTGTAGAGATGAAGATAAAAGGAGGTTGTGATCTCCGGATCCCAGGTAGTTTCCAGTTAGAAGAGGCATTCTATTTTCCCTAAACCCAGGGCAGGCCTTGGCAGTGCCCCGCCTGTCTCCAGCCTGTCCCTGCTCCCGGGAGAGCCTGGGAGATGCTGGCACACTCACCCTGTGGCTGCCTCTGTCCATGGTCTAAGAGGATGTGTCTTCCAGGCTCAGCTGATGTCAAGGAGAAGATCCATGTTGGCCCCCAGGTCCTCCAGCATGTGGAGAAAAGGAAACTGAGGGCTGAGGGCCGGCCCCCAGCAGAAGGGGCGGGGAAGCTGGTCGGATGTGTGAGGTAATCTCAGGTATAAACAACCTAGAACTTGCCAGACCTGTCCTTCAGCCCCATCTCAAGCCACCCCAGTTACTCAGCTAATACTTGGGCTCTTGAAACTGCCACTTGAATTTATGTGGAGCCTCTGTGTGTGGGGTCCCCTTCACTGCTCTTCCAAGAGCCCTCAAAATATGTGCACCTGAGCCCACAAGAGACAGCCCTGTCCCTACAGTGTGTTCATTTCCAAGTGCCTCAGTGTCCAAATCCCAAATCTGACCACACGAGATGGACGTCTTTGTTTCTCTGATTTCTGTTTATTTTTATGAAAACACTTAACAATGAAATCCGGTGGTTTTGAATTATGCACATAATGAATTATGTCCATTGACAGCAATAAAAATTATGAACTATAGCAAAGTCAATTAGTATAAAACATGTAAGTATGTGAATGGAAACCAGTCCAGGGAATAGTGAGCTGACTCATTGCCTCCTACCGTGTGCTCTGCTCTGCTCGTCAGAGCCAAAGAAACAGGAAGAGACACGTGTCCTGATCCTAGCATAGCTAGCTCTACTAAGAATTGTGGGGGAAGAGGTGTTAGCTGGATTTTGGGAAGAATGATCTAGATCGTGAGCATGTAGAGATCTCAGAGATGTTCTGACAGTCCCTTTCACCTCATTTTACAGATTAAAATGTCGGGATGCCTAGGGACTCTGCTGAACTCACAGGTAGCAAACAGCTGCAGCGGCCACAACAATGAGATGCCAGTACCCATGGCAAGCTTCACATATCCATCATTCATTCATGCAACAACGACATGCCTGGCCCAACTCCAAAGACTTCATGAAAATCAGTGTGGTTGCAGAATGGTCAAAACTAAACCAAAATCCTTTCCTACACTTTGGGGATTTTTGTGTCGGCAAATTACCACAGAGACACCAGAGCAGGAACTGAATTTAATAGATGGAACTGATTTCCGAAATCTAACAATACCTGGCAAGGGTTGAGAAATACTAGATTGACCAGTTTGTCTCAACCTGGTCCCTCGAGAATAAAAATTAAAAATTGTGACCACTCTAGTCTGCTCCAGTTTCCAACCACCAAATCTGCCCCTGTCCCACTTAACTCTGCCAGGAATGCTCCTTTTGTGACAAAGCTCCAGTCTTGCCCCAACTCTAAGGAGCTCCATGGATTCCCCAACTGGTCCATGTTTCCCTGTGCAATGATTCCTCACCTGAATAAAATTCTCTTTATTTTTATTTTTGCCTCTTTTATGAATTCTTGGTTTACATGAAGTCCTAGGAGCCTAACAGGCTTAGACCCCTGGACCTTTAGTATCAGAACTGACTGAGGGGAGGCTGACAAAACTCAGCAAACCAATGGAGCAACGGGCATCAGGCATCGGGAAGTCAGAGGGGAAGAAGGCAGGAAGGGATGGAGGAGGCTGAGGGTGCCCTGACAATTAGAAACAGTGACCAGGGATGACCGCTGGGGTGAAGTCTGAGGCTGGCTCCTGCCCTTGTTTACATGAGTGGATGTGGAAACTATTACGGCTTAGGATGTTCAGGGAAATCTAAGACACAGAGACTCATGGGTAAACTCCTAGAAGGCCCAGGCAGAGAGCCAAGGAGCCTCTGATTTGAGTGGGCTACTTCACTGGCTGCTCTCCAAGACAGCAGGATTTAGCCTTTGTCCACTTCCTCTTACTGTCCGTGCTCTGGCCATCTGGGTCTGGGTACAGGCTGGTGTTGCATCCTGGATCCCCTTTCTCCCCTTTCCTAAGGAGGCACCCTCTGGACATCAGTGAACTTACAAGGCTATGCTTGAGCCTTGGCATCCAGAGGCCAGGCCTGGAGGTCTCCATTCGGTCCTCCAGGCAGATCACTAGCCTTTTTCAATCCAGGTCTCCCCAGTCTCTGGAGAGAACTCAGACAAGGGGGTTCTGAGCAAGTCAGGGGAACAACTGAAGGCAAAATCAGTTTGGAAGTCTGCAGGCATGCTTTCTGGAAATCAGTGTTGACACATAGGGCCCAAGAACACAGCTTTGAAGCAGTGTCACCTTTTCCTTGGTCTCCTGTCCCAGAGTCCTTGCTAACCCCAAGTTGTGTGGCCCATATAGAGTCCCCATCAGAGTGGATTCAGTAAACATGGAACACTGATCCTCAGGCTCCAGGGGTATGGGTGGGATAGGTATGGGAGCAGCAGGCCACTGCAGGAGAAAGCATGGTGCATGCTGGGACTGGGCAGGCCATGTAAGACTTCGCTGGCAGTTTTCCACTTTTTGGAAGAAGGTTTTGGGCTACTTGGACAAGACTCAGAGCTTTCCTCCTGCAGAGCTGGCCTTGAAGCTGCCCCTGCTTTGACATCCATACATGACCCTAGTCGGGATCTGCTCTCTCCTGGAGCCCTTCTTCCAGGTTCTGGCCCCTCTACCTGGCTGTCCAATCCTGCCTCCCTCTGCCTGGCTTTTCCTTTCCCTCTTTAAGCTCCATGACTGTGTTCTGGAGGGCTGGTAGACAGGCCTGACTTCTCTCTACTGGGGGCTCTCAGCAGCACTTTCACTCACTGGGTGGGGATCCTAGGCAATGATGGGGACCCTGAGCAACACAGGGCCCATCTTAATTTGGACATTCCCTACCTCTGGCTCATTTCCTTTGGGGCTAAAGGGAGGTTTTACATAAAAACTAGGCAAAGAAAGCTCATGGCTTCTGGCATGAGGGATGGAGAAAGGCTCAGTGCTGTTTGGAAACCATGCTCCCGGCTCTGGGAGCTTCAGGGTTCCATCCCATGTTGTATTCTGGGACACAGCATTGGCTGCCACTTCTCTTGGGAATCTCCAGTACTTTCCTTGGGAACCCTGAGTACTGTCTCCTCTTTTCACCAAGTTTTGTTCCCTACCACTCAACACAGTGGGATTCCTTCCGGGTCTGAGACCAAGCAGGACAGAGAGGAGACTCCAAGCCCACCCTAAGGGAATAGGTCACTAACAGTTACCCCTGAAGCCCAGGAACCTCCCTCCCATTTACTCTATGCCCAGATCCAGTGGAGGGCAGATGTCTTTTACTCCACTCACCCTGGCAGCTATAATGCCAGCCCTTTCACCCCAGCCTCAGGCCTGCAGCAGGTTGATATAGTTGCTGTCTGAGTTTAGAAACTAAAGACTGTTTTCTTCTTCCTGTGTTGCCCTCAGGGCTGGATGAGCATGAGCAAGGGAGGTCATCACCCAGGCTGAACAATATATAAAGGCAGTACAGTAGCCACGATTTATCATATTTTAATGCAGTGTTTAAAAACCATCAATGGGGCTGGAGAGATGACTCAGTGGTTAAGAGCACTGGCTGATTTCCCGAGGACCCAGGTTCAATTCTCAGCACCCACATGGCAGCTCACAACTGTCTGTAACTCCAGTTTCAGGGGGATCTGACATCTTCACACCAATACACATAAAATAAATTTTAATAAATTATTTTTTAAATCAACATTAACACAAGAAGTCTATCTCTGAACAAAATGTCAAAAATTTGGGTAAAAAGAAGATCAGATTTCTTCCCAGATTTCACCTTCTATGTTTCTTCCTCACAGCTTATTGGGGCCTCAGTTTCCCTGGTAACTCTTCTTCTATCTTTGCAAGGTGCCAAACTGTAGGTTTTCTTTTCTTTTTTTTTTTTTTTTCTTTTTTTGGTTCTTCGAGACAGGGTTTCTCTGTGTAGCTTTGGAGCCTATCCTGGCACTCGCTCTGGAGACCAGGCTGGCCTCGAACTCACAGAAATCCGCCTGCCTCTGCCTCCCGAGTGCTGGGATTAAAGGCGTGCGCCATCAACACTCGGCTCAAACTATAGGTTTTCAATGAAAGAGAAGCATGCATCCAAGGCAACCAGAAGCCCAGGGCCTGCAGCCTAGGAAGGAAGAGTCCTCTTTGCACGGAGCCCAGCCCTGGGGAACTGCCAGCTCTGCTGTGAATCTTCCTGCAAGTGTTTTTTCACGCTGAATCTCCATGAGTCTGCCTGGCTCAGAATCAGCACCTCATGTCTGTCTGACCACTGCCCAGGTGCAGCTATTGTTGCTAATATGTTCTAAGACTTTCTTTTTCTTTCTTTCTTTCTTTCTTTTAATAGAAGGTCTCATGTAGCCCAGACTGGCTTTGAGATAGTTATGTAGCCAAGAATGACTTTGAACTTCTGGCTCTCCTGCCTCTACCTCTGAGATGAGGAATTACACTTTGAGTTTTATGTGGCTCTAGGGATTGAAGCCAGGGCTGCACAAGGGGTAGGCAAACACCCTATCAACTGAGCTGTTTGTTCTTAATTAATGATGCACCAAGAAGAAGCATAAGCCAGGTGCAGTGGGACACGTGACTGTAATACCAAGATGAAGGAGGTAGAAGCAGGAAGATTTTGAGTTGGAGAACAGCCAACTCAACATAGTGAACATAGTGTCCCAGGCTAGACTGAGATATAGACTAAGAAAGGCTCTGTCTCAAAAATAAAACAGCAACAACAAAACCAGAGGAAGTATATAGTTGACTTCTGACAGAAAGAAAAGGTAGACACCCATGTAACCACTATGACAATCACGATCTAGAATATTCCTATCACCTCAAAATTCTCCTCCCCACAGTTCCAGGCAAACGTCAACCTATGTCCTGTCTCGAGATTAGCTTTCCCCTTCCTAGAATCTCATGAAAATCTGCCCCTAAGATTAATGGTGGGTAGGAGAACAAGTAGGCCGGGCCACAGTCTGGCCCTCAGCAGGTGCTCAAGCGGAGCCTGATGGGGGTATTGTACAAGGTGGTCAGGAGATCGGGGACTGCTCAGCCCACGAACATCAGTGCAGTCCCAGTCCCCAGCTGCTCTCTTAGCCCTTCAGAGAAAG